TAACAACACAACACACACACACACACACACACACACACACACATATATATATATATTTCTATATCTATATATATATATATATAAGCACTCGACATCAAAACGACAATAGAAAGATTTGCAATAATGCTCAATAATATTCACCTCTGGTCTCCTCAATTGTTGCTGGATCTACATTGGCAGTCTTCGTCATGCGGCCAAAGTTCTCTCCAAACGGGTTGCGGCGCTTAGTGACCATGTGCATCGGTTTCTCATTGTACTGATTCATATTGAGTATATCCCAGACCTACAGCACCTATATAATCGGGGTTGCAACGTTTAAGAATAAAATTGGTCTGGAATGTATATATATATATAATATTATATATATAAACATCTATCACAATAGGTATATAGATTATATCTGAACATACATGATACACAAAATAGGAACTTCGGTAAAAATCGAAGCTATTAGCATCGTGATGGTCTCCGACTCTCCGCGCGCGATGCCATTTCCTGATACTGACATGCCACCCACCCTTACATTCCAAGTTCTAACAGACAGTCAGTCAGTGAGGTCAGAGTTCAGAGTCTAGACTCAAGACACCCCATGGGCCCGCGGGCGCCCATAATCCTATATCAGTTGACAGTCATTGTAACATTACTGATAAGTTGACGGTTATTCACTCCTTTGTTCCGTTTTTCTATTTGTTATTTTTTTTTGACTTTTTTTGCCCGCGATTTTTCAATCGGACCGCCAAATGTTTCTATTGGTTGCAAATAATTCGGTGTAGGCCTGTACCATTACCACCGTAGGGCATAGGCCGTAGGCCGTAGGGAGCCATAGGGCATATTTAGGCTGTACGGTGTACCGTCGTGGCGCTATATCCTGTACGGAGTACGGACAACGGTGCTACCGAGTACCGACTAATGAATATGGACTCGTCCGTTGAATACGTATTTAGACCGTATGTATTTATCATAAGGCCGACCGCACCGGTGGTAAAAATCCGGATTCAAAAATCCGGTGGGAAAAAACGAATTCTGTGTGTCTATTGGTCAACTAGATTTTGAATTTATAACGGCTGCGGTACTTTTCAAAAATCGGTTTGTAAAAATAAAATCCATTACGGCGCCCAATTGTTCCAGTTACTCCAACTTTCGACATATATTTGACGTCAAAATTCAACAATCGGTGGCGTTACGTACAATTTTTTTAATTTTAAAATATGCAGGTGTCAAAAGTAAATGACAAAATTTTGAAATTTAAGCCACTCAGAGAAGAGTATATTTATAGTTTCGGATTTTGTTAGACGGATTTTGTTGATGTTTTCGACAAAATCCGAGGTCTAGATTTTGTCAAAACAGCTTCAAAAATCCACTTTTCAAAAATCGAGATCGGATTTTGTTGCCGGTGCGGACGTATTTTCAAAAATATATAAAAAAAATCCGATTTTGTTGGGCGGATTTTGTCACCGGTGCGGTCGGCCTAAATGTGTCGTAAAAAAGTAAAATAGTAAATGCCGGCGTTCTGAAATAAAATTGAATATTCAGAAGGCATAATAGCCTCCTAAATTGTAAATATTTACAGGAGAAGACTATGGAAGTATTTAAATGCTTTATTTTTAAATAAAATAGAAAAAAAACATTTTCCGACACGCCGCTTTTTTTAAAAATAGCCCTATCACAAAAACATAATTACTTCTGGAGGGCGCGGTCTCCATGGGGTATACAAATGGGTCAAATACCTTTACGGACGTTTTTTGGTGACGGACAAAAAATCGGTTATAAAATGTCGACCGGGACTTTTTGTTTTAAAAAAATAGAAAAGCTTACGATTTCAGTAATAAAGCACAGCTGGGTTGCCGCAGAGACCAAAAGCTCTTCTAAGAGGGTAGCTAATAACTTGTGAATATATCCGCACAGGGTGAGCTGAGGTCTGAGGGTGAGATACTGAGATTTCTTGATGGTTTCTTTCTCTCTCACTTTCACTCAACACACAGTCACACACAAATGCCAGCGAATAATTGCAGAGCGCAGCCTTGTAATGGTCGATGACATTGGCGTGTTGAGATTGTGACTCAAATACGTACTGTTGTTCAGCCACACATAAACACACATAAACACACTCACCCGCGGTGCGGGGGTGGGGAAAGCTCCCCCGCCTTTTTTTATATTGGCGGTTCCATGTGAAGATTTGTTTCGGGCGAATAAAATCCCAAAAAAAAGGGGGGGGGGGGGCGGCTCTTTCCGGACTAGACTTGACCACTCCTGTTACCATTTTTAGGTATAAAAAGTAACGCCCCAAAGCAGGCCCGCCCTCGTCACGGTTGTAACGGCGGCACTGCTTACTAAACAGTGAATTTTGAACTTTTCAAATGCACCCGTATGTCCACTGAGGCTGTTTCCAGGGTGTACCTATGGTCCAATTATAAAAATGCGGGATGCGAAGTGAAAAGAGCTCAGCCCCCAAAAAAGGGTGGGATTCGCCTATCTCCACTCTTGGAATTCCGCCGTCGACAACAGACCCACAAAAGTATGCTCTATTTTTTGAAACAAAATTCTATTTAGGACCCCTCGGGGCCTACAAATGGGGAAAAAGCGTTCCAGACAGATTTCAAGTCAATAAAAGAAATAAGGACTCTACAGCTACGCTTTCGGTGATAAACCGCGACTGAGAGATGTCACAAGGACCGATTGCGTATAGTCAAAGGGGTAATTTACTTGTGTTTATATTCAGACATTCGTGATTCGGCCTATTGACTATTTTGTATAGGGTGTTAAATGGGCAAAACCCAATCCAGCCGGATAAGAATCGGACACGCGTTGTTTTGCAGAAAATGTCTCGCGTGTCCTATTTTTCGCTGAGCCTTGTGAAACGCGGACTAGAAAGGATCGAGACGAACGGAGTCACTGGAGAGTGGAGACCGGAGTCACCAGTGACCCGCATATTTTTATTTCTATAAAATTAATATTAGTTGTTGGGAGCGATGGTGGGTGTTATTTTCTCCGGTCTTTTTGTGGACTGTTGTACTTTGTCCTATTTAAGTCCCCTTTCTCTACGTGAAAGTGATGTCATCGTTGTCTGTCAGATGACAATTTGGTGACATCTTTGTCTGTCGGATGTCTGACTGTGGACACCAGGCACGAGGCAGGAGGACTCTCTCTCTCTGTAGAGTAGAGAGAGAGAGAGAGAGAGAGAGAGAGAGAGAGAGAGAGAGAGAGAGAGAGAGAGAGTAGAGTAGTAGTAGTAGTAGTAGTAGTAGTAGTAGTACGTAGTA